TTAGGAAACAGTCAATATAAATCTTAAGGATACCAGCAACAAGGTTACAGTCATACAGTCCTAAGTGGGAGGAGATGGGTGATAGGAACGATGAGAAGATTAATAGTAATGCAGATTTAATAACTAGTTTGACAGTGTTGAGGGAATTATTTGTTTAGCAGAGTGATGGCGTTCGGGAAAAAACTGTTCTTGTGTCTAGTTGTTCTGGTGTGCTGTGCTCTATAGCATCGTTTTTAGGGTAGATGCTATATGGACACCCCTGTCCCATTTATTTTCCTAAGGCTGTAATCATATGAAAACTGGGAATGACTTTCAATCTGAGCAAGGCTAGGTTAATGTCAGGGTTTCAAGTAATATACCTATAGCAAACAGAACTCCGAGGCAGGTAGATTCCTTAAAGAACAGTTTTATTGGATATATCATATTGACATGGACTGGTGAAAACTGACTCTAAAGGTTCTTGCGGTTTTCACCTAATTAAAAGTAAAGCTTTTCCCCCTTTCCCAAACAATCAGTCACATGATCCAATCAAAGTGCTATCCGGTTGCTTAGAAACTTCACTCCTCCTCTCTTCAGCCACCTGTGGGTATGTCCTTGGTTCCCAGGGGAAACTATTTTGTTCTGGTTACAAAATCCCAACTATCTCTATTTCCCCCTCCCTATCCCTTATCACCATTGTGGCAACATTGAAGCCTCCAAGATGGCCTCAGTCAGGCCAGTTTCAGTTGACAGTTTACTTTTATGTAAAAGGTTTTGCTATAAGGAATTCTCAGCCTGTAAGGATAGAGCCAATGTTCTGTGTTCTTACTTCTGAATGAATGTGCTCAAGATTACTGACTGTGCTAAGTAAGTTTAGATGCCAGTTGTTGAAGATGTTGAATGAATGTGGCAGTAAAATCAATAAATGTAAGTCAAACTGTTCCCAAATTTCTCAACATGTCTTAACTATTTTTGTTCTTAATTTCTCTCAAGAGAAAATGCATAGTTGGAATTACTTCCTCTATTTAAGGAAGTAATTTTGTTGGCTGGAAAATTCCATTCAGTTCTCTTCAGTACAGAGAGCCAACTTCTTTTCATATCCATCCAGCCAATTGTCCATTTCCTCTGGCATAAAGCTGAGGACATTTTGGTGGAATTAAACATATATATTGAGGAACTTCCTTTGAGGGAAAATGGGAAAACAGTTTCTTAGTGAGCAGAAATGCATTTCTTGGTTTCCCTGCCTTTACAGTGTACTGCATAAAGGGACACATTTTATAAGGGCAGCATCCAACAGTAGAAGGAAATACCAAGATCTGATCTCATATAGAATGAGCCACAGAGGAAGGGTTTACATCAAGACAAGCTTTCTCTGGGTAGACAGTAAGGAAAGTATGATGTAAATATGTCAGCTCCACTACCAAGCTATGAGGAGAAAAGAGAGTCACTCTGTGAATGGGGTAGGTGGTATCTAAATTTGACAAATAAGATAAGCTTTAAAAAAAACATTTAAGTTCACAATGGACAGAAATTCCGCAGAAGAGGCTCAGATGGACATCCCTCTAATTCACAAGAGTTTAAGGAAGGGGAGGAGGTACAGCACAATCAGAACTGCAAGATTCTTTCATTATGGCCATTCTCAATAAACGTAGCTTTAATCTTTTCCTGTTGTTCATTTCTTGGTCTGACCTAACTGGTGAGTCCAAAAATCTACTAGATAAGCTTATTGATGGTAGTTTAGCTTAGTATTTGTTCAAAGCTTTCCAAAATCAATTGTCCTCCCAAAGTAGTAGGACTAAAACTCCCATAATTCTCTTCCATCCCAGCTATAAAGAATTTATATTTTATGGAATAGAAATGTTTTCCAGAAAACATTTTGATAACGCGATAACCCACTGTTAGTAGAAAGACAGTGTGTCAAATCAACAAGCAAATATCATGTATCTGGACATTTATATACTTTAGAAAAAGAACTTGTTTCTCAGTTTAGAAGAAACTGTCCTTGAAAATGATTTCTTGCTAATATAGTCATTAGTGTCGGCACTTTTATATATGAACTTTCTCAATGAAGTTTAGAGATCTCAATTATATGATGATTATATATTGCCTAAGAACTGAAAGTTCTCCTCAAGTGAATTTTGTCAAAGAACCATTTCAGGAGTACATCTAATCCGCTGTATTCTTGCCTGACATATAATTTTTTCTGTAATTAATAGGAAAGGAAATTAATTGCAGCTTCTTACATCTGGGGGTGGCATACATATTCATCCTATGGTTCTCATTCAATGTAAATAACATTATGCAGAGTACAAAAAAAGGAATAAGAAATAGTAAGCCCAAGAAATTATAGGCATGAGATAAGAAAAAGAAATATACTTAAAGTAATTTATACCAACATTATTTGCTAAATTTCTCCATAGCTTTCAACTATGCAAGCTTTTGCTAGCAAATCATGCTAATATAATGACCATATAGTTTTTAGTATATTGACTTTTGTATTTAAAATTGTTTGCTCTTTCTTTTTGAGGATCTCACTAGCTCTATTCAAATGCAACTTTCTCCAGTTTATCTTCTTCTTGACCCTTTCGTTCTTTGGTCATATATGTCTTTTGCAATTCAATCAATATTTATTCTCTCTCTATGATCTAACCAATCAGTATATTTCTTTGATTATGATCACTCAGATTTTCATACATTTAATATCCAATCTTCTTGTCCACATCCTTATTGTACTACACATTCTTCTTAAGTATCCCATTTTCAATGAATTGTATTTATTGTTGCTTTTCTTGACATACCTCACACTTCCCAATTACAAAGTAGGCATAAGCCCACAAAGAAGGCATAAGCCCTCTCTTATTCACAGCCATTTTAGGATTTTTTTTTACATTTACTGCTTTCTATTAATGTTTGAATATCTGAAAAAAAATCTTCAATTTCCCCATCTTTAATAAACATTCTATTAAGATATAAATTTGACTACTTGCTCTTAATGTTGGAGTGAATATGAAATCAGTTCTAATTTCATAGTGAAAATCTTGATGGTCCTAGAAATGTAAAGGAGGAAGTGAACTCCACCATGAGTGCCATTGAACTTGGAGTGGTCAGATGACCGGAGTATCACAAACACAGGTAATTCCCAAATTGGTGCTTTCCTGTTTCTGCACTCATCTGTGCATTTTTAAATTAAAAAGGAAAGAAAAGTAGTATTTACAGGCTCAGTTAAATGCACCTTTGTATATGCATATTATTCTAAGTACAGTGCACATTAAATATTCATTTTAACATGGATTGGAGCCAAATTGCCTCATTTCAAAATTCAAAGGAATGAATAATCTGAAAGACCATGTCATTTAGTTCAAGTTATTTATTTGACAAACACAAAGACCAATTTGTTTAAAATCCATACTAAAAGATTTCCCAATTTATGGGATGCACCATCCTCTACTTCAGGGGTGGGGGGCAGGGGGCGGGGGGTTATCCTTGGTGCTCTCTGAGTTTGCTTGTTTTCTTGCAGACATTTCATTACCCTAACTAGGTAACATCCTCTACTTCAATATTGCATATTCCTCAAGCAGACCTATGTTTGTTATTAATATCCATTGAAAAGGGGATTTATTTATTTACATCTTCATCATAATTAACTCATAGTGCATTATGACAATATAAAATGTATTAAATTTACCTTGAGGTAAGGTGAATAAATAAGGTAGATAAAAACTGTAATAAATAATAAATAAATAAATAACTTTATTGTCATTGTACGTGTATACACAGTATACCCATCCAACGAAATTCACTTAACACCCAAAGACCAGGTCCAACGCACATAACAATCCCCAAACACACTCCCACCCACCACAATTCTCCACCCCAAACCACCCAAACATCCACACAACAGACCAAGTAGTACTGTCCAACAGCTCACTGATGGTGGACCTTTAGTTCATTGTTGAATGCAATTATAGCTCTGGTATAAAAGCTATTCAGAAAACATGTGGTCCGAGTTTTAATTGTTCTGTATCTTCTGCCAGAAGGCAACAGTCCAAAAAGATTGTAAGCAGGATGGGAAGAGTCTCTGAGAATGTTATGCAACTTTCTCAAACAGAAAGATTCGAAGATGTCGTCCAGGGCGGGTAGCTGGAGTCCGATGATATTCTGGGCAGTTTTAATGATTCTCTGTAGAGAATCCAATTAGCTAAATAATAGGTTAGCTCATTTGACAGTCCTCAAAGACCCACTGGAAAAAGATTTCCATCACCTTCCATTTATAGGCAGGAAAGCTCTCTTAGAGAGTAAGGTGCCATGCTGGAGGAACAGTTTGTTTTCTGGTTTTAATTCCCCTGTCCCACTTTACAAAATAATCTTAAATGAGAATAAAAAAAGTATGGCCTATCCAGTCTTATTATCTCCAACTGTTTAGGTGGCAACTGTGTGCCACCAATGTTTGGATTACTGTAGAACACATTGTCATCCAGATGTGTTGAAGTACAGGTCTCACCATTCCCATCCAGATGTTCTGACAGTAACAGAGTTTACTTCATGTTCAGAAAAGTCAACAATGTCTCACATGTATGAGCTCACAATGGCTATAAGCTCTCTTGTGTTAGTCTTAGATGATGTGTATTTCAGTGGTGGGTTTCCTCCAGTTCGGACCGGTTCTATAGAACCGGTAGTAAAACTGGCAGGAGGCTCCGCCCACCGACCCTGACATCATCAGAAAGCTACTGCACAGAAGTGCGTGCGCGGCGTAAAGATAAGTAGAACCAGTGGTGGGATTCTACCGGTTTGCACCAGTTCAGTAGAACCGATTGTTAAGTAGTTAAGCAATTCAGAGAACTGGTTGTTAGAAGAAATCTCCTTTTGTTTTTTTCCACTTTACAGGGTTAATCCTGTAAGGAATTACAACTTTCTGGTGTTGTTTCCTAGCCTAATCTTTATTGCCCTGCTTACAGAAACTGCCTCTCCATTAACCCTTATTATATTCTTGGCAGTACGCCTAGACTTACTCGGAGGGTTTTTTTTTTTTGGCTTGACTTTCTTAAAGGGGAAGGGTTGTTTTAAACTTTTTACACTGCTGTTGGGAGGAAATACTCCCCTGTTGGAGTTCTTCCAGCCAGGGTGCAATGATCAGCACTTTGAAGAAATAATTGAATAACGAAGCAGAAGCTTTTAATGACAAGGAACCAAGATGAGTGACATTCAGCAAGGCTTCTTGGCTAGCTAGAAAGATTGACATTCAAACGTGAGTTTACATACCTTTTCTGACTTTTGATCTAAAACTGGTTTTGGGTGAAGTTTAATTCTGTGCATGGTGATGTTTAATCTTGTGTTTAGTGATGAGATAATTTTCCCTATTCAGTTTTGTTTGGAAGGAAAAATGTTAATCTCTGTTCCTGAAAAGAAGCAGCTTTGGAAATCTGACTAGTTCCTGTGTCTATTTGTTCTGGTAATTGGTTAAACAAGCAACAGATACTCTGTTTGCTCCTTTACTTCATTCTGGAGAGCTTAAATGACCTCTCTGCTAAAGGGTTTCACTTTATGCGCAAGAGTTGGTTGCTGATAGTTATCATTGCATTTTAACTATTTTAATTCCTCAAGGTGCTCTGCTACCCTGCCTGATTTGTAACTCCAGTTTACAGGTAATTCTAATCTAATGATTGGTATTTAGGGCAGCTTTTTGCAAGCAAAGAAGCTTTTTGTATTTTTGTACAGGTAATCTTTACTTACAACGGTTACAATGGCTCTGAAAAAAATGACTTATGACGGTTTTTCACACTTACGGCCATTGCAGCAAACTGTCATTAGGGCAAAGAAGCAATGCCACATGACCACCTGGCCACACCCACCCGGTCACATGAAGCACCACAGTTGTAAAATGAGTGACACAGTTGTTAAGAATGCTGCAATGGGCATAAATGATGAGCGGTCATAAGTGTGAGGACCAGTCAAAAGTGCAAAGACCTATTTTATTTATTTATTTATTTATCGAATTTCTATACCGCCCTACTCCCGAAGGACTCAGGGCTGTGTACAGCCATGAAATAAAACACATAAATATACAAAATTTAAAATCGAATAAAAATGAATTAAATAAATTTGGCTGAATTAATACCCATAATTTAAAATACCCCTAATTTTAAAATACATTAAAAATTTAAAATTTACATTTAAAAGGGAGAAGATTTAGGCGAGGCCCGCTTGATGAAATAAAAGCGTCTTCAACTCGCGGCGGAAGGTCAGAAATCACTTTTTTCAACCCTCCGGGTAGTCCCTATGTGCATATGGACTACTCAGAGAGCTGAAAAAGTTATTTTTGACTGGTCCTTGCACTTTTGACCAGTCCTCGCACTTACGACTGTCCTCACATTTTACATTTTGCGCCCTATCTTATCACCTATCTTGTGGTGAAAAGAAGCAGTTGTGAAATGAGTGACACGGTTGTTAGGAATGCTGCAATGGGCATAAATGTGAGGATGGTCATAAGTGTGAGGACTGGTCAAAAGTGCAAGGACCAGTCAGAAATGACTTTTTTCAGCCCCCTGAGTAGTCCTTATGCACATAGCCACAGCTACCTGGTCACATGACCACCAAGCCACGCCCACCCGGTCACATGACCACCAAGCCACGCCCACCCGGTCACATGACCACTAAGCCATGCCCCCAAATAAGCCACGCCCATAGAATCCCACCACTGAGTAGAACCCACCCTTGCTGTATTAAATGTGTGTAAATAGGTGTCCAAACTTTCAATTAAACATGATTTTGGTACTATCAACAATTAGAAATTGTTCAGGGAGAAGAGGTGGAATGATGACCTAACATCTTTTTTTATGTAACTGACTGGTTTGAGGGTTACTACTATAATTGATCTTTTTCCGTAATGACTTCCTTCCAAGGTCAGAAAACCTGGACCTGGAATATCCATGGGCAGCTTGTTTCCATTCCATTATTTCCCTCCTGAAAGGAAGTAATTGTAGTCTGGATTTCCAGGAGGGAGAAATTCCAGAGGACCAAGAGACAGCAAACTTTAGATGGTTTGGCTGGAAGAAAGAGAGTTAAGATGGCGCCTCCCTAGCAATTCTTAGAGTATAACTCTATGTAAGAAGTTGCTTTAGTTTGGCAAGATTTCTGGCTGTGGATGAGGAGCAGAAAAGGAAACTGCTTGGAAGTAATCCTATGTGTCTTTCTTGGTTTTTTGGGTCTGACAATTACAGAGATGTGGAAACAAAAAGATCTGCTCCACCATTAGGAAGAAGGAGGAAAGTGATTTGGGATATCTTTGAAGAGACAAAATGGGACTTACCATCCAAATGCTTGAATAATTGGGTTAAGTTTGAATGCCATGCTTGACCAGTGTGATAGGAATCGGGCAATCCTGCTTTGGCTTAGGCATCAAGAGATATGCTGGGTAAACTGGGTAATGGGATCCAGGTGCTGTGACACTTTTGAAATCATATTAAAAAAGAGCTGCGCATATAAAAAGCACTGCTTAAGTATTCTCTTAAAGCATGGCTTATTATTTATAGGTTTTCTTTTTTCTCTTAGTTACTTTAATTGTGTAACCAGATATTTTTACAGTTCAATAAAGACAGTTCTTGACCAGAAATTGGGTGCGAGATGTCTTAGAGTACTCCAGATTGTTAAAGGTGTATTAGAACATATTAGCCATATGACATTCTCAATCTGCTGGTTAATTGTGATTTGGTTGGCTATCTACTTATATTCTAGAGCTTATACTATATTGGCTTGTTGTTTTTCTGTCCTTATTTTCTATATTCAGGGGAAAAAACCCAAAAGAACCATCCAGTTTCAGTTATGTTAGAATAGAATAATTTTAATGTGAACTGGCTGATAGACTTATTGGGGCATCTATTAAGGACAGTTTTCTTCTATTAAATGTAATATAGCTAGCAGCACTGAGAACAAAAAATAATTCCCATATATGCAAGCATGCAGAAATTAAAAGATACTTAAATATGCATGCACACACACACATTAAAATTCAGGTGACTGAATTCCCCCAGACCTGTTTTTAACATGCATGCATATATACTTACATACAGTCTCCTAATATTGAATTCCTTCCCTCATCCCTCTTCTTCCAAAAACATTCCTACTTTGCATTGTCTAAAACTTGCTCTGTCTAGAATTAAGCTGAATAAATAATTCAGATCTATTTCTTCTCTGTTTTAAGCTTCTGGGCACTATTGTATTGGAAATTCTACAGTGAAATTGCTGGTCCCTCTTTCTATAAAAAATATTATAAAGATTTTGTATAACATTTTGTAGAATACTTAGGGAGGAGATTTTCATCTGGACTCAAAAGAAGCGATATTAGTATAAATTATATAATATAATATAATATAATATAATATAATATAATATAATATAATATAATATAATATAATAAACATAACGTAACGTAACATAACATAACATAACATAACATAACATAACATAACATAACATAACATAACATAACATAACATAACATAACATAACATATAATATATAAAATAATATAGGCACCTGTGATTGAGAAGGTCAATTGAAATGTATGGCAAACATCCCAGTATGCATAAATTGTAGTGTCTTTGTGTGTGATTCAGTTCAAAGGTAATTGGAGCAAAAAGTAGGAACAACTTGTGAATAGCATGACCTCAGTCTTTGTCAGAACCTTAGTATAAAATTATTCATTAATAAATCACTTGTTAAATAAATCTCATGCTTCCCAGATATCCTGAATCTGTAACCTTCATAATTTTTCATGGCAACTGAATGCATGGAAATTACCTAGCAAAGGATGAAACCACCCGGGAAAGGAAATTATAACTCCGAGAGCTACAACACATAAAAAGAAAAGCGAGAAAGGGAGGCAATATTGAAAAATTTGGAAAGTCTACGGATACTACTGTGTTTTCCCAAAAATAAGACCCTGTCTTATATTTTTGAATCCTGAAATAGGCGCTTGGCCTTATTTTCGGGGAGGTCTTATTATTTTGCAGTGCGTGGAACAAGATGGGGCTCCTCTTGCCATCTTACCTGATTTCCAGCTCTGCGTTTAAATATTTTTGGGGAGGGCTTATTTTTTAGGGGAGGCATATTTTAGTTCATGTGCTCAAAAGCCCAATTGGGCTTATTATCCGGGGATGTCTTATTTTCGGGGAAATGGTATGTATGGTTTGCAAAACTGTGGACAATCATTAGACAGCAGCAAAGATTTGAAAACTTTGACCCAGAGTTGTATATGATAAAAGACAGAAGGAACAGCTCTTCTACAGAAAAAAAGGTGTAAAGAAGAGATAGCACAAATAATCAGAATTGTACATAAAGGATTGAGAAGTTTGATCACTAAGCTAGAGTTTTCCTGAAAAGTGAAGCTAAATTCCCCCTAGAAAATATCATAGAGCTGAATGGATGAGAAGCGAAACATCTTCAAAGAAAAACAAGAAAGTCCAGTTGCCTCTTGAAAAAGCACCTTTGGAACACTAAAAACAAAACTGTAAAAGATGAAGTATCAACAGAACTGATTAAGATCTTGTAAAATGATGCCATTAAGATGATACATGTGGTTTATAAGCAGGTATGGCAAACAGATTAATTTATATTCTAAAAATAAAAGTGATAAAATGACAAAGTAGAAGTAATACTAGCAATAGCACTTGGACTTTTATACTGCTTCATAGTGCTTTACAGCGTTCTTTAAGTGTTTTATAGAATCAGCATATTGCCCCTAACAATCTGGGTCCTCACTTTACTGACCTTAGAAGGATGGAAGGCTGAGACAATCCTGAGTCAGCCAGGATCAAACTCCTGGAGTAAGCAGTGAGTATAGAAAGCAGTACTGCATTCTATACTGCTTTACTTTTTTAAGCACCACGGCTCTTAAAAAAATAATAAACAATTGCATTTATTTCACATACTGAACAGAAAATGCTAGGAATTTTACATTTCAGACTTCAACAATACATTGGAGCAATACAGTGGAGGTTGAATTCAAGACTACAGCACTAACATCTGAAGCTGATGGAAAAGACAAGAGAGTTGTAAAAATAGTCTGTTCATCCTGATTTTGCTTATAATCTGTGCCAATGTCTTTTGGGACTCACAGACATCAGCTTGGCCAATATGGGAGAAGAATGTGGAGTAGATAGGCCTTTAGTCTGATTCTGCACAGCTGTTTTTGTATTTTTAATTATGTACAACATGTTTAACTGATACAGATTGGTTTAGGACAGGGTGCCAAACTCGATTTCATTGGGGGTTGCATCAGGATTGTGTTTGACCCTGAGGGCCAGGGGGGCGTGTGGCTGGGGGTGGCCATTGATATGGTGGATATAGCCTGCTCGCTTGTGTTCAGGGGCACCTGGGGTAGCCAAGTGCTAAGCCAAGATTTCACTCTCATCATAATCTCCTTCCTTCCTTCCTTCCCTCCCTCCCTCCCTCCCTTCCTTTTCTTCTTTTTCCTTCCCTCTTTATTCTTCTTTATTCTTCCTTCCCCTCTTTCCTTATTTTTCCTTCACTGCTCTCTTCCCATCTTCCCATCTTTTTCTTTGTCTTTCATCTTTCCCTTTCCCCTTTCCTGTCCCTTCTTGCATGCTCAAATGCAAAAGGGGAAACATTTCTCCTTTTGTTTTGTTTTTAGTTTGTTTTGATAGCCCTCTGCCAGCAAAAATGGAGCTCGGGTATGTGTGCCCTGTTTTCATTGGTCGAGGGCTACAGGAGGCTGTTGTGGCTGAAAATGGACATGGGTGTGTGTGTGAAGTCCCCCACTGAGCTCCATTTTCACTGATAGAGGCACCGAGGCCCGGTCCTTTGCTGTTTCCAGGCCAGCCCTGCAGGCCAGATCTAAGCACCCCATGGGCTGAATGAGGCACGGGGGTCTTGAGTTTGACACCCCGGTTTAGGATAAAGAACATTAAACATCTAATTAAATAAGTAATGGAAGTTACCAGTGATTTGAGGTTTTACAAGAGTTGTTCACTCTTAATTGTTCACCAGAACAAAATGCTCTTCAAATTGAGGAATAAAAAATGTGTATTATGAAAGTATTCAAATATTGGGAGGGAGGAGAGGGCACTCATTGTCCATTCAGTTTAGGGGTCCTATATGTGCTAAAATTTTAGTTTCTGGTACTGGTTCTAATAATATTCATAAGATTATTAGAACCAGTACCAGAAACTAAAATATTCATAAGCTAAGGAACGAGTGACTATGAGCGAATTTTCTATCACTTTGGTACCTTCATTCTTACAAGTAATGCCCCAGTTGATGTGTCTTATTTATACTTTGTGTAGTACCTCCATAAAGAACACATAACTTGAAGACATGTGCAACTATGAAGAATTCTCTGCTTCTCTATTTTTTATGTTGTGTATTGTTGATCAACCTGTGTTTTTGTAAGGTAAATATTTCAGTTTCTGCAATCCTGAGCTGCTAGGTCAACCAGCAGAAAGAGTGGAGCCTAATTCATCAATGGTGACATTCCATTTAATCAACAAACTGACATAACAAAGAACACTTGCTCTTTGAGCTCATGCTAATGCCCACTTATTCCAATCAAGCTGACAGACTGAAAACTGAATTATGGATATATTTTCCAATAGCCAGAAGCAGGCATAAAAAGGTATGTGTGTGTGTACATATACATATTACATATTACATAAAAGATAAGATAAAGATAAAGAAAACCCTTATTGTCATTTTTTTTTTCCTGTGGGTTCACTGGCACACATTAAAAATGAAATCCTGTTGTCAGCTCTCAGAAGTGTACACATACATAACACACATATAGATATGCTATATACATACATATGTATATACCTATACTTTAACATATAAATACATACAAATATTAATCACTGTCCATCTTGAATACATAGTGTAAAGATGAAGCCTGAGAGTTCACAAGATTGATACTGTATGGAACAAAACTGTGGCTGAATATACATATACATATTGTTGATATTGGTTGATATTTCCAGATATTGGTTCATGATATTTTTAAACCTGATGTATACTGTAGAGTACTATATAACAGTACCTGACATGAAGGTACTACTAGGGCAGTGGTTCTCAACCTGTGGGTCGCGACCCCTTTGGGGGTCGAATGACCCTTTCACAGGGGTCGCCTAAGACCATCGGAAAACACATATTTTCAATGGTCTTAGGAATAATTTTATGGTTGGGGGTCACCACAACATGAGGAACTGTATTAAAGGGTCACGGCATTAGGAAGGTTGAGAACCACTGTACTAGGGGAAAGGACAGAATTGGACAAAAAAAGCAACCACACCTGTAAAGGAAAAAGACACTAATGCCTCCCCCATCTCCTTTAGTTAGATCTATTATTGTTTCAATTTTAACCCCATGCCATCTGTAAATTAAGTCCTTCCAAAATAAACATGGCAGTCTTTTTTTTTTTTTTTCTGAAGCCAAGAAAAGACTGCTGCAAACCACATTTCAGTAGGTATGGCACTTTG